TATTAGCTTTTATCTAGCCTTTTGTCATTATTAGCTTTTATCTAGCCTTTTGACATTATTAGCTTTTACCTAGTCTTTTGTCACTTTTAGCTTTTATCTAGCCTTTTGTCACTATTAGCTTTTACCTATCCTTTTGTCATTGTTAGCATTTTTCCAGCTTAGCTTCAGCTCTTTCACTGTGTTTTTGCAGAAAATATGAATGTCTGTTCTGAAGAGAAGTGAGAGACGTTAGGACTGATATGTTTAGGACTGTAATAAAAAGTTAAGAACACAAACTTTGATTTGTTTTATTTTATCTTTAATGTTTTTTTTTTAATCCCGTTGCGTAAGTTCGATGGATCACGCTGAAACTCGACGCAAGTCCGACTGTTTGGATTTAAGCTCCTAACACAGGAGGGCGGACATCTTGGCTCACTTTGGTTAAAGTCGGGTTTTTCCTCTCTTTAAAGTCTGTTAAAACGTGTCATCGCTGACACAATGTCTGTTCTGACGGAGGGCCCAGTTACAGGCGTCGTCGTCTCCTCTCGGTTCGTTTACTGAACCCAATGATTTTCATTTGTTTCAGGAAAATTCCAGAACGGGCTCGCAGAAGGGGAGGTGGACCCGTCCTTCGGACCCCTGGAGGCCCTGCGGCTGTCTGTGGTCACGGACTCTCCGGTCTGGGTCATCCTCAGCGAGGTGAGAGCTGCTGAACGGGACCGTTCCACAACATCTGAAGAGCTCCTTAAGAAAAAGAAACTTCTTTACGGTTCCGTTCGTGCGTTCATGGTTAGATTCTGGGTTCGGGTCTTTAAAGGGATCCTGTGGGTGCGTTTAGGCTCTCTGCAGAGCCCACACACATCTCTGAGGGCCTTCACTGATCCAGATCCAACTGAGCAGAACCTGTTGGTGAAGAGGTTCTTCTCCAGCATAGATCCACTGGTTCTGGAGTGGAAATTAAAGAAAAAAGATGATTCTGAAGCTGCAATAAGAGAAGAACGCGTTTGGAGAGTGTTTTTATCTCCTGGCATCAGAGAAGTTGTTTCATGGCAGTTTGAGAGAATCTTCAGAGTTTGATCCGATCCTGTGGTTCTGTGGTGGATCGGTTCTGTCTATGATCTGTGAGGTCATCTACTCACGTTTTCCTCCTGCAGTTTTGATACTGAGGAGCTTTTCAACCTCCCGTCATTAGTTTTTACAAACCTCCTCCAAATCCTCCGCTCAGAACAGAGCCGGTCCGTTCCTGACTCACCCGGGTTCCTGGTCCGAATCTGAGTCTCAACTCAGGACTCACGAGTCTGTTGATTTATTTCAGAATACTTTTTTATAATTCTAGGTTTATTTGTCCTAAAAAAAATAATTTAGTAACTCCACATTTATTCCAGGGAGACTTTTATTTTGTGGTTTTGCATATTTTTAACTAAAACTTTCAATTTTTTGATGAGTTTGTCTCATACTTTAATATTACAATATATTTATTTTAAACGTTTATTTTGTAAACTTTTTTTTTGTTTTTACTTTTCGTTTGTAATTTCCATTGTATTCATTTCACAGTTTTAGTGCTTTTATTTTGTTATTCGTAATAAGCATTTATCCAGTAACAACACACTTATTTATTGTCTGTATCCTGGAGGATTTTATAGCCTCGTTACCTAATTATCTCGTTAATTAAACACTGATTAAAAGTTTAAATGTAACTTTATTGACATGTGTACAGATGAACACACGGCTCCTTCATCCCTCCCTCCTGCTCCTCTTCCTCATCGTCTCTCTTCTTCCTTTCAGATCTTCATAAAGAAAGCTGAGTGAAGCTCCGCCCCTTGCCCCGCCCCCTCTGCCCTCAGCTCTACCTGAAGCCCAGCCTGGGCTCCTCAGCTGGTCCAGATCCTCGCTGCTGTTGCACAGCGCCACCGTGTGGCCGGTCCTCGGCCCCCTCAGACCGAGCAGCTCAGAGACAGAAACTACGGAGACGAACGGCGGCGTGAGAAAACCACGTTGCCATGAAGCTGTAATTATCCTGACGGTTCTGTATTTATATGTACATATAGTGAATACACTGGGTGTGATGGAGCTGCTGCTTCCTGTCTGCACACACACCTCTCCTAACCCGCCTCCTCCTCCTCCGGCGTCCCTCCTCGCTGCTCTGGGTTCGTGTTGTCCCTCCATCAGTGATCCAGTTGCCTTAACGACGACAGAGCAGTTTCGCGTCACATGTAGCGTTCACAGATACCCAGAATCCTTTGCTGCGGACTCAGACCCACTCACAGCACTGAAACTACTGATGAAGACAGCCGGTCTGTTGTTTCTTTGAGGAGGCATCTCTCCGGGCTGCGACTGCTGGAGACTCAGATTTGTGAGCGAATTAGTTATTTGGAGTTCGAGTTTCAGAACTGCCAGATTTCTGGAGGACACCGAGAACGCCGGAGACGCCGCGAGACATTCAGGACGAGCCAACAGTCTCAGCCCAGTCAGATCCCACCTTTAGTGAACTTTTTAAAACAGGTTGAAGGTAACCGAGGCCTTGACGACCCGTCTCTCTCTCTCATGTGCGTTAAAGTTGTTTACTCTGTTGTTGTTCCTCGTCCGGTGCAAAAAACACAACAAAAACACTTGTTTATTTCAGTTCTTTACATGTTTTCTGCAGAGACTGTTGTCCATCAGGACTTTGTCTTCCAGTGAGAGGTTTCTGTCTTACAGGAGAGACAAGTTTTGATAAATCGTTCCCTTCGTGTGCAGATTTTAAAATGAAAAGTAGGTGCCTTTAAGTGACATAAATCCTCAAGTTGTCCTTGTTTAACCCTCTTTAACCATTTCACTTTATTCAGGAGCAAATATTTTTATACCCTCTGTAAACTTGCACAGACCCGGCTGGACAGTGGACTTGATCTGGGGTCCTGTGGTTCTGGACATGAGCTGTAATTTAAATATCAAGTAGAACAGAATAAAGTTTCTGTTTTGAAAGGACTTTGTTCATTTTCTGGACTGTTTTTCACCATTTTAAAGTACGGTTTGTTTACATGCTTTGTTCGTTTTGGTCTCGTATTTCTATCATTTTTGCACAAACAAGAAAAATAAAGTCCGGAAACGTTTATTCTTACACCGGTTCTTCTTAAAGCAGATCTGAAATTTGAATTTCCTGGAGAAAGCCCACACGGGAAAGGGAAGAACATTTAAACTCCACAGGGAGCCGAACCCGCGACCTTTTCTCTGTGATGCAGCAGGTCTAACCACGGTGCACTGCGCCATGCGACACAGCAGTAACAAAATAAGCTAAAGTTAGCAGCGTGCCTGTCTAATTCTTGCAAACACCGGATTTGTTTTACAAAAACTTGTGGAACAGAAACATTTTGATAAAATCTAAGGTTTGAAGATAACAACATCATTACACATTATAATGTCTGTTTGTTTTCGTAGTTTAACAAACACTTTAGCGGTTTCAGTGAGGAAACAAACAGGTATTTGGCAGCTGCTCACAAATTTAATAACTTAAGTATACGTTAACCATCACTGTGGGAAAAATATAGTTTAGATTTAGATTATGCTTTATTTTAACCAGGCTTCATCATTTTGCAGTGAGGAGCTTTACAATAAGAAACACTTCAGATTTCTGCAGACATTTTGTCGTATCTTCAACTTTTGGTCAAAATTTAATATAAAACCTCATAATATCAAAACAGAATCAAGTGCATCTGAAACAGTCCAACTCTCAGCTGCAGATTTCTGTTTCTCGGGGTGGACTTCTGTCCCGTCAGGGGGGGACACGATTGCAGTTTTTATATTTTGTCTCACAGCTTGGAGACGTTTATCTGGAGAAATACTCAGGACTTGATGACTAGGAATATGGTCAAATATTTTACCTCCTGTTGTTTCAAAATTCTTCTTGATTAAAAACCTTCCCAAACTTTTCACGAAGAAGAAACAGATTAAAGCTGCTCAGCAGAAAGCTGAAGGCTTAAACTCGGCTTTAAAGCAGCGTTCTGCTTCGTTGCAGAACCTGAAGGGAGTTAAAGCAGCTTTTTGTGTGAAGGAGCTGATGAGGAGGTGGTCACATGGATGAAGATCACACGGCGATCACGTCTGCTCAGAGTTAACACTCAGACATTCAGAAAGTTTTTTTTTTTTCTGATCTTTGGTTTTCTAGGCACCAAAATATTCTGTTCAGAATAAACCTGAACCAGCTTCTGCTGTTTTTATCCAAATGTCTAAAATATACAATTTTCAGGGAAGAATATAAATAATCATACACTTGTTAGACTAAATCAAATGGATGTTTCAGCTGGAGTCTCCTGTTGACTTTGGCCAAACAAGTGTCCATTAAACCTTTTGGAGTTTATATTAAAATATTCTAAAAAAAAATTAAAATGCTCATTTTTCCTAATCTGTATCTCCAGACTAAAATCTGAATGGATAAGAAGTACCCAGGCAGTTGAGCTTTTAAAAACTTTTAATTGCTCTGTGTTTTATATATTTACTAAAGGTTTAAAATGTTGTCATTTTTCAAAAATGCAATAGCCATTAAGTGTAAAATTAAATACATATATCAAAATCTAAACAGGAATACATTTATTTTTCTACAATGTTCTACTGTGATCTGGCGTACTAGTTTAAATTTTTATTTTATTTTATTTTTCACTTCAGGCGGACCAAATGGTTTTAGTGAAATATAAAATGGTCAATAAAGATAATAACATGTTTATCATTTAGTCGAAGTTTGGCGCTAAATAAATGTTTTTTTAAGCACGTTTAAAGCAGAATCTCTTAATAAAATCGGTTAATCTCAGCCGACACTTCCTGTGATAAGATTTACTACAGCCAATCAGCGCGCACCTTCTGTCACAGCTCGGCCAATCAGCGTTATCCACGAGGTGCAGCACCGACGGGGGCGGTCCGACGAGGGGGAACTTTACTGCAACCAATCAGAAACTGACATTTGCCAAGGAACGTAAAACGGACGCCTTTGCTGACCAATCGGCGTTCAACGAAGGCGGTCTTTGCCGAGCACCAAGTCACGTGACCCTCCTCAGTGGTTCCCAGGCGGTCACATCGAAGAACTCGAGGTGAGTGAAAATAGCAATAAATGTCACATTTTACATGAAAACACGGCGGAGCATAGGTTTGTACTGATAAAAAACGTGTTTCCACCTTAAATGTTTCATATTTATTGACACGAAGCGGGATTTCACTGTTAAAATGAGTGTTTGAAGCGTCTGAGCGGGCTGTCAGAACCGAACCGAGCTGCTAGCTGATGCTAATTATCCGCAGGTGAACTCGGAACAGCCCGCTAACCTGTTCCAGTGACCTGCTTCTGCTTGAAACACGGTCATCCACACGGTTTTTATCACCTAACTGTAATCACATTATAAACATTAAACTGAAAGTGGGACGGTTTTTCCTTCGAAGGAGCTGGCTATAGTTAGCATCAGCGCTGCCGACACGGCGCGGCTGAAGTTCGTCTTGAAATGCCTAAAGGTGTTCTGTTTGAGCAGCTTTGAATTTTTAGGAAACTCAAACTGAAGCTAAAATCTTTAGACGGGGCAGTAGATTGGATGCTAATGAATGAATGAGTTGTAAAGAGGCTTTAGTATTCACTGACAGACGAGAGTCATACTAAAAATGGTGGCTTGCGTCTGAATTTGTAATTAAATTTAAACTAGAATCGGGATTGTAGTAGAAAGATCAGACTGAATTAGACATTTCAATGTGTATTTAGTCAAGTTAACAGTAAAAACTAATCAGAAACCAGGTTTAATTGTTAATGATTAATCTTTAGTACTGATGGGTGCGAAGCAGGAGATGATGTTACAATAATTATGTTTTTGTCTGTAATTAATGTCTAAATAAAAAAAGTCCAATTGTAAGAGTGAATTTTAATTGTAGATCTAGCTCGGTGGTACCCAGTTCTGGTCCTGGATGATCGCTGTCCTGCAGGTTTAAGTTGTTTCCCTGCTTCAGCTCAAGTTCTGATAATCATTCATTTAAATCAGGTGTGTCAAAGTTTTCTCCCAGGGGTGCATATTCTCTGACCCCCCTCACATTGATGATGATATACTGTACAGGGTTATACACAAAAAGGCTACATCTGATCCCATAAGAAAATAAACCGCCCATGGGTTATTTTCATATGTTATGTGTTAAGTGTGTTGTATACATGGCACCTCCCAGGCAAAAGTTCCCTCATTTTTTTTTTTCCACAATCAACCATGTAAATTCATTCCCCCCTCCTGTAATCCCTTTTTTTTTTTTTTTAATTGCTGTCCCGTGGGAACGTCTCTGTTAAAGTTTCTCTTAAAGCCCTGTTCGCTTTAATGATCTGGGGGACGTGTGCGTACTTAACCCGGCGTTTGAAACTTAATTGGCCCGTTAAACCGGTGAGAAGTGCCCGAATTACAAACGCTGCACGCAGCAGCAACGCTGCTTTCAGTTTGCATTTCAAAATACTTCCAAACTACAGCTGCACAGTAAATCAATATACAACACGGTGATAGAAAGCACATCAGTTTCACAAAGTACTGAATAAATCTCTAACCAGATGCCAGTAAAGCAGTCGGATGGACCGTGAATGCCTCTGGCTGGTTTGGAACAACAGGAGCTAAAATGCTAAAGGTAATGGGATAGGAGCGAGGAAAATCTGGGTTAAACGCAACTGATATTGTCATCAAATATTCAACAATAAATTCACAATTACGTGTTTTTCTAGTGTGGTGCGCCAAACTTGATGTGCTTCAGCTCAGTGATTCTGGACAGGGCTGAAGGTCAGCAGAAGGTCAGAAAGATGGAGACTGGTCCGATACTTGAGTCCAGCTCGAGACGTCCATCTGTTTTCTTTATCAGCTCCTTCTGTCTGCAGCGGTCACAGGTGGGGGACACCTGGGACTGAACCCAGTCCGTCAGTATATACAACCTGGACTACGTCCCTTTTTTATATTCACCTCACTGGTACCAGCCTGAGGTGTAGAGGATTTACAGATTGTGTCAAAGTTGATGGGTAGGCCCACTCCTCCCAACAACTCATGACCAACTCTGCAGAGTCTAAACCAAAAACATTTCTAACAACTAAAATGTTAAACTGTTTTTTAAATACAAAACTGATCATTCATACCTGCTGCATTCTTTGACATCTGAGATTCTTCAGATTTGAGAAATAAAACAAGTTTTAAAAACTAGTTAGTCTGATAAACTAAATGTCTTTAACTGGCTATAAAAATCTGGACCTGTAATCTTGTATTAAAGCTTTAGTGAGGTGCAATAATTAAATGCAGTTTTAATCTATATTATAAAAAGCAGAGCTTCAGGTGCTTTTATGTGAAGTAAGAGAAAATATATGAAAATATAGAAAAAAGGTACCATTTTGTCATTTTTGTATTTTTATGTTGACTCAAGGTGAGTTTATTTACAAATAATAATAATAATTGAATAATACTTAAAGAGAGATGGAGGAAATAAACAGATCAACCTGCAAGAAAATTACTGTAACGTATGTAAAAGCCTGCCACTTAATTCCTGAAAGCATGAACAAGTTTGCAATAAAAAACAAATATGGTATGAGTTAGGTGGAATTTTCAGGTCCAGCTCTGGACCGAGGTCTTCCATTTGGCTAACCCTGATTTATAACAAATATTAGTAAATTCTGTCTTTGTGACAAATAACAGTAAAAAGCTTTCAGCTGCAGCTTTTAAATCGGGTTCTTTCCAAGAAGCCAACAGTTTTTATCAATGTGGGTTATCTTTAAATTGCTCATAATCTACACAAAATACGTTTTAATGGAATAAATTTTTAGTAAACGGTGGCATTCTGAGTTTATTCAGAGGAACAGTGAAGTTGAAACCGATTTCAGTAGGAAAAAACTGCAGCGCTGCTTTTCAAACTGTTTCAGGAGATGAGTCGACGCAGTAAAGGTGAATTATTCCCGATTCTGTCTGAAGCGGTTTGTTTAAACAGTAACTCATTCAGTTAAACCTGTTTCACTCATGCAGGCTGTTGACAGAAAACCAGCTATAGCAGCTTTCTTATAACCTTTTAAACACAAAACAAGTTCAACCGGCTCAGAAATTATCTCTGAAGTGTTACTGGAGGTATTCACTGAGTCACTGATATTTCTTTTTCTAGAAATAAAAGCAGTTTTTTAACGTTTTCTCCCTCTTCGATGTCTCGGTCTGGTTCTTATCAAGATGGTTTTTGTTTAATATAAGCAGAGGAGCATTTAAACATGTTTTTAATGTTATTTTTAAGTCATTTGTGCTTGAATTGACTCAGATTTTAGTTTACTCCAGAAAATACACAGATGAAGATGAGCGGGACTCCTTACAGGGCTTGGTTCTGTTTCTGCTGCTGATCAGCTGTGATAAAAACCGCCCATAAACTCAATCAGATGGAGGATGTGGGGAGCAGCAGACGTCCCCCTGGCAGAACCGGCTCTAATATCAGATTTACAGGAACCCAGTGGTTCTGTCCGTCTGGGTGGATGACAGCAACTTCAGCCTTTTTCTCTCCACTGATCAGGATTAGGTTTTATCAGCCGATCAGAGGCTGCTGGGAGCTTATTACCCCTGCAGGCAGCTGGACCATCACGAGGCTGTAAACGCACAACGTGGACGACTTGGTTGGTTTTCAGAACCTCACAGAAGACACGTGGAAATAACAGGGACGAGCATTTTAAACAACAGAAAATGCCAGTTTTTCCAGTAGTCGTCTCCTTCGTTCCTGCTGCTGTTAGCCAGAGACGCTAATCCTGCTGCAGGTTAATCTGATTAACTCGTCAGGGTGCGGTGTGAGACGGCAGCTTCATGTGTCGGCTAACAAAAACAGATGGCTCCTCCTGTGTTTTATTTAAAATATAAAATCTGGTCGAGTTATTTTACCTGTGAAACTTCTGCAGCTTTTCGTGCTCTTCCTTCTGGTTTTGTTCTTGAGGAAAAATTTGCTTTCAGCTCGTTTTGTTTAAAAGCTCGAACACAAAGATTTCCGTCTTGACTGAAGTGAAGGCAACTGAAGACGGAAGCTCCTCAGATGTGAGAGGTCGATCAGAGAGAGCCCACACCAGAATACTTCATTCCTGGTTCTGTAGATTCTGTGCGGTGATGATACACCAGCAGGAATATGCATAAAGGTTTGTCTTTTCATTCTAATGAGACTAAGCACTGATTAGTCTCTTTAGAATGATTGTTCAATTAGCTTCGTAGAGATCTAGTATAGAGCTGTATGAATGGGTAAATGAGGCACAGATTGTTGTGTAAAACACTTTTGAGTATCGATCGGATATAAAGGTGCTATATAGTCCGTTTACCTTCTTTTGTCTTATTAGCTCCATGTGGCTGTTTTCAAGCAGAGCAGCTCAACCCTAAACCCACGTTTATGTTAATAAAAACTGCTGTTTGTTCTGCTCATAGACAAATACTGTAATTGACATTTTGTAGAAGGAGATGAGACGATCTGTGCTGCTCATTTATCGTCCTTTGAGCTTCGGAAGAAGATGCAGACGTTTCCTCTGAAAACTGTCCGATGTAAGGAGAGCGTCCACGGGCCCCTGGGTGCAGGAATAACTCGTCTGTAGGGTGCAGGTCATCCCACAGGGTGTCACCTCATCACGGTGAAGGAGCTAAGGTGGAGTGTTTTGTCCTGTGGGTGATGGTTGGTTACCGTGGCGATGGATGGATGCAGGGAAGTGTCAGAGAGCTGGTGTTACAGGTGGAGGAACAGGTAGTTTTAATGTTATAGATTTAAAAAGTAAGGTTTTCCTCCTGTCAACTTTTTCTTTGTGTAGATTTTATCCATATTGGATTGAAATGGTGTTTATTATTATAATTGGCTAATTGACACTGACACATGTGAGAGAATAAATGATGAAGTTTGTGTGTCGTGAGTTACACGTGACCTCCTCTTCCTCGTTTCTCTGCAGACAATGCATCAGAAGGTGGTGTTGGCGGTTCTTCTGGCGGCAGGCCTCCTCTGCCTCTCGTTGGCTCCTGTCGCTCAGGCCCAAGACCTGACCGAGGACGATCAGGCGGATGACATGGACGTGGAGGACGTCCTGGACCTGGCCGGAGTCGAGGAGGAGGAAGACGAGGAGCTAGAAGGTGATGTGCAGGATGAAGCTCCGCCTCCCCCTACAGTTCCTGCAGCTCCAAAGGTAAGACGGTGGCAGCTGAATTTCTTACAATTACTCGTGTAAATGTTTTTTTTTTCTTTTTTGTTCTTCGTTTACAAAAGAAAACAATTTTTCTAAATTGTTCCGTCTTTTCTGACATAAAAACATTAAACTTCAGGTTAATTTTGAACAAAACGTCTGAATGAATTAAAAGTTTTATCTACAAATACATTTAAAACTTTGTGTTCAGGTGACCTACAAGGCTCCTGAGCCAAAGGGGGAACACTTCTTTGCTGAGTCGTTTGACCGGGGAACGCTGGACGGGTGAGCAAATGATATTCAAACACGCCCTCTGGGGTTTGAGGACGTTTGCAGCTGGTTCAGACTGAGATGTTGTCAGAAGATGCTCCTGCTTTCAGTGTGACATGTTAGATTTAAAGTTGTAAAAACAGCTCTGATCCATCTGTGGCGTTTTCAGGTGGGTTACGTCAAAGGCCAAGAAGGATGACGCTGATGAGGAGATTGCAAAGTATGATGGTAAGTCTTCAGCTCAACTCAGAAAGGAGAGGGGAACTTCATTTATTCTGCTTCAGAGTCGACGCATCACTGTGTGAACTCTGCCTTATTCAAATAAACGTGCGGCAGACTCTTCGCTCTCAGCACGTAGCTGCAGAGTTTGTTGAACGTGGTCAAATGCCTGACGCATTTGTCCAAACTTCTGCTACACAAACCATTTAAACTGGTGGATCTTCAGTGATATGGAAATCTCATGAAACGAGATCTTCTTACACTTCTACTCATTAATGGTGCCGGTTCATTCGCATCAAATCGTCCTTATTACGTCTCCGTCACAGTTTATTTGGATCGCTGAGTTTTAGCTTGTGCTCTGCAGTGAATGGTTTTTCACGTATTAAAACAAAGTTTTGAACCTGATGATGATGATGATGATGTTTAAACAGGTAAATGGGCTGTGGAAGAGATGAAGGACAGCAAGCTGCCTGGTGATAAAGGTCTGGTCCTGAAGTCTCAGGCCAAACATCACGCCATCTCTGCCCTGCTGCTGCGACCTTTCACCTTCGACACCGAGCCTCTCATCGTCCAGTAAGAACGGCTCGTCCTCAGATTTAAACTGACGCTGCAATTTTCATCTTTTTCTGCTATTTCAGCTACTGTTTAGCTGTTTTATGCTAATTTTTGACATTTTCAGCTAATTCCACATTTTTATACTCATTTCAAAAATGTAAAGCCTAATTGAGCAGAAATGTCCTCTCTCCACTTATAATTTAAGTTTATTTCTGCCTTTTTAGCTACTTTTCAGCAGTTTTTTTTTGTGTGTGTGCTAATTTCAGCTTTTGTCAGATAATTTCCACTTTTTGTGCTCATTTCTGCTGCTTTCAGTCTACTGGTAATTGGGCAAACGTGTTCTTTCTGCTTTCTTCTGCTAATTTAAACATTTTAACTTTCCAGCTACCTTTGTAGCATATTTAGCTTATTTCAGCTGTTTTCAGATAAATTCAAGTTTTTTTGTGCTACTTTCAGCCTAATTAACTTCTTTATGCTCGTTTCAGCTTATTTCTGCAATGTTCAGCTTATTATGCTATTTCAGCTAATTCCACTTCCTTTTGGTTGTTTAAGCTTTTTTCTGATTTTTCAGCTACTTTTCAGCTGTTTTGCTAATTTCAGCTTTTTTTAATCTGATTTCCCAATTTTTGCTCATTTAAACCTAGTTCAGCAAATATGTGTTCTTTCTGCTTCTGTTAAAGTAGGCTTGGTGTTCCTTTTCAGCTGAATTTCAGCTTGTTTTTTGGTTAATTGCAGCTGTTTTTTTGTAAGTTGTTCTGCAATAAGCATTCACACTGCATTTTTGCAGGAAATGCAATTAATCTAGTTAACCCTTGCTCTGTGATTGGTTGATAAAGTTCTGCTGGAAATGGCTTCTTCATCCTGACACTCAGAGGGGCGTTGGTGCCAAAATCTTAGACGTGGGGAAGTTTGAAAGCAGCAGCAGAAAACATCATAAATTGTGTTTAAGTAGTTTGTTTCTGTGTGATCAGGTACGAGGTGAACTTCCAGTCCGGCATCGACTGTGGTGGTGCCTACGTCAAGCTGCTGACCCAGACGCCTGAACTCGACCTGGTCCGTTTTATTTGTCTTTGTCCTCGTTGGTTTTTGATCGGGTCTAAAAAGCAGAACGTTTAAGATTCTTGGCACATCAGAAAAGTTCATTAAAGTTCGGTCTTGTTCAGGTTTTGAACCCATCCCGTGTCTCTCCACAGGACCAGTTTGTGGATAAAACTCCGTACACCATCATGTTCGGACCCGACAAATGTGGAGAAGACTACAAGCTGCACTTCATCTTCAGACACAAAAACCCCAAAACCGGAGAGTATGAAGAAAAACACGCCAAGAAACCTGACGCTGACCTGCGGACGTACTACACCGATAAGAAGACACACCTGTACGCGCTGGGTAAGCCACGCCCCCTCAGACAAACACAGGTAGTGACTCAGGTTCCTGACGGTAACCCGGCTTTGCTGTCCCGTCAGTGGTGAACCCCGACAACAGCTTTGAGATTCTTGTGGATCAGACGGTGGTGAACAGCGGCAATCTGCTGAAGGACATGATCCCCGCTGTCAACCCCCCCGCTGAGATTGAGGACCCTGATGACCACAAACCAGAGGACTGGGATGAGAGACCAAAGATCCAGGACCCTGACGCCGTCAAGCCCGAGGACTGGTCAGTTCCCGTTAATATAGACTTAATTTTTTAACAGTTCAATGATTTGATGCTTGTAAGATTTTTCTCGAGGGGTGAGGGTGATTGTAAGAAAGGTGAAGGTTCAGCACACAGCTCCGAGGAGCAGGTTGATCTGAAGGCAGCTGGGACCACGGTCACCAAGAACTTCTTTGGTACCACTCTGTGATGGACTCATGGTCCCCCTGCTGGAGAAAGTCCAGGTACAGACCTGTCTTTAGTCTGCCAGAGAACGTCCTAAATGGTTTAGAGAACATCTGGAGGAAAGTTCTGTAATCAGATGTGACCACAATCCAGCTTTCTGACATCAGCTGGACCCAACGTGCCTGATATGATCCAAAGAACATCCCCTCAGTTAGGAAAGGAGGAGGAAGCAGGACTACTTCACAACGTCAAGGAGCTGATGAGCAGAGATCCGAGAACCGTAAAATTGTCTTCTTTCAGCCAGAACCCAGAAAAGCACATTAAGGTCCTGGATCAGCCGAGCTGGTCTTTGGACCTCAGTCCTGTAGATCGTCTGTGGAGGAGCTGAAGCTTCAAGTTTCCAAGAAAAATATTTTAAAGAGTTTTTGTAAAGAGTGAGCCTGTATCTGTCAGGACTGTATTAATATCTTAACTGATGACATCACTCGGGTTCTGTTCTTCATAAAACGTTCTTTTTGTTTTCAGGGATGAAGACGCTCCCGCTCAGATTCCAGATGAAGATGCAGTGAAACCAGACGGCTGGCTGGACGACGAGCCCGAGTACATCGGTGACCCTGATGCCATCAAACCTGAAGACTGGTGAGTTACAGGGGCAGTGTGGCCTCTCCTCCCCCAGCCCCTCACCTCCATGGTCTCACTGTGATGTCCGTCTTTCTGTCCATCAGGGATGAAGACATGGACGGCGAATGGGAGGCCCCACAGGTCCCCAACCCTGTCTGTGAGAGCGCGCCTGGCTGCGGTCCCTGGAAACGGCCGACCATCGACAACCCCAACTACAAGGGCAAGTGGAAGCCCCCCATGATCGACAACCCCAACTACCAGGTGCCGTTTCCTCGTGCTCTGTACCGGACCGATAAACGAGTCCATCACAGAACCCTGACAAGCTCCTGACCTCTGACCCTTTTTTAAAATTTTTTTAGGGCATCTGGAAGCCCAGGAAGATCCCCAACCCAGCGTTCTTTGAGGACCTGCACCCGTTCAAGATGACGCCGTTCAGCGCCGTGGGGCTCGAGCTCTGGTCCATGACTTCTGACATCTTCTTCGACAACTTCTTCATCTCCAACGACCGAAATGTCGCCGACCGCTGGGCCGCCGACAGCTGGGGGCTAAAGAAGGCCGCCGAGGGTGCAGCCGAGGTGGGTTCAAATCCAGCTGAGGTGGATTTTATTATCGGTTTTATTTGAAACATTTTATTAGTTATAAATAAATAAATGGTTAGACTACAGAAACATTACCTAAAGTTTGATGATTTGTCTGGTTCAGAAGCCCACGGTTTTTATAAAAACATTTAAAAAGTTTTAACCAAACAAAAAATCTCAAGTTAAATTGATCAAGTTATTATTAGAAATTTATAAATTAAATCTTTGTTTTTATGAAAAATACTGATATTTAGTCTCCACATTTACCTCTTAATACAAAACAAATTGCAATATTTTTTTTTACAGGTTAAGTTTTAAATGTAATTTTTTTTTTTTTTTATGTTTTAAAACCTGGAGTTGATTCAAACCTATAACGTACAATTTACAAGAATTATTTATGACCAAAATCAAAATGGGGTTGGTTTTAAATTGACCAAATTTATAAAATAATTTACTGAATGAATCAAAACCAATCTGAACACGCCCATCACAGTAAGATGATATAATATTTATCAAGTTGTGAAAATATAAAATGTTGCCCAAGGCTTTGATTGACAGCTCACAGAGCAAATAGGAAGCTCTGTTAGGTTTCCTCCGTCAATTTTAATATTTTAATTTGTTGAACCAGCTGAGTCCCTCGAGTTGAAATATATTTTTAAAGTAAGCTCTGGTCAGGACGGCAACAGCACCATTTCCACTTTAACACAATAAAAACCAGAAAAGAAAAAAATGTTCAAGTTGCATTAAAACAGCTGAAGAGCAGAGTGGCTAAAACCTTTAAGTCTGATAGTCCGTTTGGAAAAACTGTGGGAAACTTTCAGTTTTTGGACCGACCAGACTCGTGAAGAGGAGTTTTACGAGCCTTTTTATTTAATTTTAAACCGTTTTCTTCACCAGACAAACCTCAACAGTCGAGTTTTTCTTTAAATAATTACAAGGGAACTTTTTCTGAGTGATGCTCTGCAGCTTCGCGTTTATCTGACAACCAGCAGGTGGCGCTAACATCAGCTGGATCTGTGGTCAGACCTGGAACACTGAAGGGATAAAAAGTGAAGTTTGTGTCTGTTAATAGTCATATCATCAGTTATGTCTCCTCAAGTTTAAGCTTTGAGTGGAAAACATTTTAAAATTAGTTTTTTCATGAATTGTTAACGGACAGATCAGCATGAAATGATTCAGTCCTGTTTTGATTTGAACCGTTTCTCCTTAGAAACCAACAGTTCATGATCAGAACCATCATCTACTTAAAAACATCCAAACTATCTCTTTAAAGCCTGCGATGAAAAACAAAAACTCAGCAGTTTATTTCCAGGATTGCTGTCCCCCTTCATGTGCTGTAAAATCTGTATTCATTGAGAACGTTCCTTAGTAACCTGAAAAGAACAGAACATTTTGTCAACTTGAGTCTAAAGTCTTGATTTTTCTTTTAATGTGCAGAAACTGTAAAATCTTATGATTTTTCTCTGGTTTGTGTTGCAGCCCGGGCTGGCAGCTCAGATGCTGAGCGCTGCAGAGGAGCGGCCGTGGCTCTGGATCGTCTACGTCCTCACCGTGGCTCTGCCCGTCGTCCTCATCGTCGTTTTCTGCTGCACTGGCAAGGTACCAAACGTCTTCATTTAGTAATAAACTGGATTAAACGGCAGGTGATGGTCACAAAATGTACTTGACATAAACTCCCAGCACATTCTTCGAGTTTAATTTGTCCAAAGTTTTAAGAAACTTAGTTTATCCTGAATGTGTTCACAGCTTTTTCCATGTTTTGCTGTTGTAGCCTTTTACAAAATGGATCAAATCAAAGTTCTGCAGAAAATTTCCCATAATGACCGAGTGAAATAAGCTTGTTTAAAGTTTTTTTTTTTTTTTTTTCCCCAAACTTGTTAAAAAATAAATTAAAAAAAAAAGTTTTGATCCTTAAGACTTCAAAGCCTTTGAGCTCAGGTGCCTCCTGTTTCCACTGATCATCCAGATGTTTCTACAGTTGGATTAAAGTCCAACTATAGTAACTTCAGCTGATTGGACAGGATTTGGAAAGAGACACACCTGCTCTTATTAGGCCCAATAGCTGACGAAGCGTGTCGGAGCACAAACCAAGACATGAAGTCCGCGGAACTGTCTGTACACCTTAGAGCCAGGATCACCACACAGGTCTGGGGAAAGGTACAAAACCTGCAGAAGTTGAAGGTCCCAATGAGTCCAGTGACCCACAGCGTCTGTAACTGGATAAAGTTTGGACTGATCAGGATGCTTACTAGAGCTGGTACCCCTTGTCAGTCTGAGCAATGAAGGGGGAGAGTAGTCAGGTGACCCAAATCCTGGTGATCACATGACGGCTCCCGTGTTTGTCTTTGTAGCATCATGTCTGGAGGAAACCAGGCACTGCTCATCACTTGTCAGTATTGTTCCTATAGCAGGGCATGGTGGTGGCAGCATCATTCTGAGGGGATGGTTTCCTTAGCAGGAACTGGAAGACGAAGAGGGAACTAGATTTGTAGTAGAGTACCTGATCCAGAATGCTCTGGACCTCGGATTGGAGTGAAGGTTCTTCTAACAGAACGAAGACCCGAAGCACACAGCAAAGAGACCAAAGGAGAAGCTTCGGGACAGCTCTGTGGCTCAGACTGGAACCTGACTGATCACCTCTGGAAAGGTCTTTAAATGTGCACCGCTGCTCCCCGTCCAAGCTGATGGAGCCTGAGAGGTTCTGCGGAGAAAGGGAAAAGCCTAAAAACTGGTTGTAGCGTCAAACTGAGAAGGGCTGGAGTGTCAACAAAGTGTTGATCAAGGGCTGTGAGATACCAATGTATATGTTACATTTGTGGTTTTTTTTACTTTTAATAAAGCTGCAAAAAATGTAAAACTTTAACTTTGTCATTCAGGGGCACTGTGTTGAATTTGGAGGGAATTTAATATTCAGATCAGACTTTGGTTCTGAAGCTTTTGTCAGAATTGTTTTCTCATGAAACTCTCTGCTGGTTTAACTTCCTGACTGTGGTTCGTTCTCAGTGGTCTTCAGAACCGAGTCAGAGTCAGTTGAGTCTCTCCAGCTTACAGGAAGAGTTAAACGAAGCCGGACGACCTAACTCGGTGACTAGTGGAGCTCGGTGTCGTTGTTCTGCTTTAGCCCGGTGCTGTGGCTCTGCTGTAGCTCCGTGTCGTCATTATGCTGTAGCTTGGTGTCGTGGTTGTGCTGTTGCTCGTGTGGTTCGTTTGGATTAGTTGCTTGTCAGGTTTGCTCTACTTTTAGTGATACCGTTCAGGTGGAATAAAGCAGTCTTGGTAACATTTTTAATGTAGGGTTAAATGACATCCTGATCCAAAAACACTCATAAATACCGTTCAGAGGAAGTGAAAGGCTGCAAACTTTGTTCCCAAGATGCTCAGGTCCAAAAACCATGACTTCTCTCTTGTCTGAGTTTAAAAGCTGAAAATGAAGGGCCATCCAGGATTTTGTCTCTTTAAGACAAACTTGTAATCTATGTAACCGATTACATTCACTGGATAAGATTAATCAGATTTTTCATCAGCATAACGATTAATATTTATCCCATGCTGTTTAATAACTTTACCTAATAGAAGCATATATAAAGAGTTTGGGACCAAGCACTAAACCCTGAAGAACTCCACGACTAACTGGTGTGTGGAGAAGATTAATTATTAACATGATAAACCTAGAATCTGTCAGATAAAATATTTAAACCACTTTAGAGTTGTTCCTTTAAACTTTTTGATTTTTTTATTTTTGTTCTGCAGAAGAAGAGTTCAGCGTCGCCGGCGCAGTACAAGAAGACTGATGAACCTCAGCCTGACGTGAAGGAGGAGGAGGAGGAGGAGGAGGAGGAAGTTGAAGGGGAGGAAGAAGAGGAGGCAAAAAAGATGAGTGCAGGTGAATAAAATACCTGAGCAGGTTGTTTCTGAGGTCTCTTTCAGTTTGTTACCGTTTGTTTGTTTGTTTTTTCTCTCGAGGTCCAGAGGAGAAAAATGAAGAAGAGGATGCTGCAGAGGAAGAAGAGAAGGAGGCTTCAGCAGACGAGGTGAGGAATTGAATTGTGAATTGTTGTTCTCCTTTTTTCAGTTCCAGGCACAAATTTTACTTACAAATGTTTAATTTAAGGACACAACCACTGTAGATGAAGATGTTGAGGTTCTCCTTGGGGGTGACAAGGATGAATAAGATTAGGATGAGCTCATCAGAGGGACAGCACACGTTCAAGGACTGGGAGACAAAGTTAGAGAGGACAATTAGGATGGATGCTGACAAAATAAAACAAAAATAAATTTAGAACTTTGATAGCATCGTGTTTGTCACTGGAAATGTATCCACTAATCAAACGGTTCAAAATTGTTACTAAAGACAGTCGTGTTATAATTTCAGATTTTACTGGCTGATATTTTTTAGGTTTCAGTGAAGAAAATATGACAAAAATGAGTAAATACAAAAGAACTTTTTAAAAACATGTTTTCTTTGTCTTTCGTTTTGCAGAAGCTGGAGGACGAGGTTCTGCGAAGATCTCCCAGGAGCAGGAAGTCCAGAAAGGACTGATTTTTCTGATTCCACCGCCCGAGCTCAACACCTCCCACCCTCCTCCTCCTCTTCCTCCTCTTCCACTCCCAAGGTGATGAAGCTTAAATGAATCCAGTGGAAGCAGAGAAGCCGACAGGAAATTATTCAACATCTCCCCGTCTTCCTCCTCCCCTCTTCCACATGATGACGATGATGATTCCAGTGTGAAGCGGGCTGACTTAGTGAGACTGTAAAGGATTTTTGTTTTTGTAACTGAGATTCACTAAAACTTGCTGCGTCATTCCTCCACGACAGCTGAGCGAGCTGCGGGGCCGAGGCGCCACCTGGCTCCACCAACCGGTCAGCAGAGCGTTGGACTACAAACTGGCTGCTAACCAACCCACAGATAACTTACTCACAAGCAACTAACTACTAACAGTTTCTAAAGTTAACTAGTTGGCCTACTATCTGCCTAAATTCACCTATTGATTAGAGAATATTTTAACCGGGAACACTCCGACTTTTCTTGTGTTGTTTCTCCGTTAGTTGTAACGTAGTTGCTGTCTGCAGCGTTTCTGCAGCTTCAGAGGTTATGAAACGACGTCAGACGTCCTCTGCTTCTCATCGTCTGCACGTCGGACATGAAGACGTTTGAGAAATCGGCTCCTCCTGATAGTTTCAGATTTAAAACCTGCCTCCTTCATCCAGCATTTCATCCTCCGTAATACAGGATTCCTTCATTCAGACACCGGGTTCCTTGCTCGTCAACCCTTCCCACCTGTGAGCTTCAGCCCCACTTAAAGAGGTGGCACTTAAAGGCAAAATGTTCCCAAGTTAATAGCTTTCAGACACATCTCAGAGCTTCAGGGTTAAACCAACTGGTAATCTGTTTTTTTTATTTTTATTTTTTATTAGGGGGTCGTTTCTGAAAGCTGTAACTAAAATCAGGAGGACCTGCAGTTACCTGCTGCCACCACAGGTGTCAGTAAAGAGCCCATTCTGCTGCTCGACTTTCTTAGAAACCCACCATGTTGCTTCCTGTTTACCACGTGACCAGTTAATTTAATTTGGAGTATCTGACCAAGACAAGACGTCACAATAACAAAACCTGCTGTTAAATATTGTTAACGCCAAAAGAACATCAAATTTTTTTTTTTATATCCATTCACAAAGTTAATCAAATTCAATTTACTGGTAAGCTTGAAGTGGAGAGGTTCCAAAACCCCAAATTAAACAACCGCTTTTTTTTTTTTTTAAAAGGTTTTTCTGTTTCCATGCCAACCTCAATTTCAGATGATGAAAAGAGTTTTTGTCATTTTCTAATAGCTTGTTGTACCAATAACGATCACTAGGAACAGAGAAAATAACCATGTTACATTTGGGGACAAATCGCTGATTTTATGTTCAGAACTGTCATCAGTGGAGAACGAACAGATTTTTTTTGTTTCATTGTTTTTCTGGTAGAGATTAAATGCGTTTAATTATTGTAGCAGAACAAGTGAGAGCTGCACTGAGACTGAAACTGATCATCAGCAGCACACTGAGCTTCCTCCTCTTCATCCTCCGTGGGCTGATGGGTGGATTCGGTTCTGGTGGCGTCGGGCTGAAGCCGCCTCGCTGACTGTAGACTGAACACTGTATCTGCTGCGTTTTGTTTTTTGTTTTAGTCGCCTCGAACGGCTTGTGGCACTGCAGGAAGGTCCAGCTTTGAATCGAAACACTGTGACGATGGAGCCTGATGTTTGTGTGTTTGTTGACACGCAGTAAACGTTTTGTTTTGATGAATTAAAAAAAGGCCAAATGGACCTAAAGGTTCCCCAAGTGTCTGTGTCTTCTCATACACAATCGCATAAAAATGGTTTACGCTTAACACATTTAAAACTTGAAAAAACGTTTTGGATTTTGTTAAATTACCTGACAAGATGGTAAAAGGCTAACAAGTTAAGATTTTTTTAAATTTTGTACGCAAGTCAAATTAAAGTTCTCCAAAGGGTTTACATTTTCTCTGAAGTGCCACTAAAATAGCCTGGCCCAAAACTCTATAGCTCGAAAAATATGCAAGGAAGTAACAAACAAAATAAACCTGTTTATTGTGGCCAACATTTTGTGTGCGAGTCCAGACAGGTCCTTAAATTATCAACATTTTTAATGTCGGTATGTTCTTTACAGTCCAGTTAAACTAAAATTAAAATCCATTTTAAACATCTAAGTCTCAGAAGTTCATTTCTATTACTTTTTATGTACATGAATGTTTCTGTACAGTGCCCTGAGATGACTTCTGTTGTAACTTGGCGCTATATATGAACTGAATTCCTGTACAGTAAAACAGGGTTCACTTTTTCTACAACTGGAAAGAAACTGTTTTCTGATTGGTCGTCCTTGTTGTCAGTCAAATTTGTGACCCCTCCCCTCCCTATGTCGTAATGGTTATTTGCAGTCACCTGTATTTCTCCTCTCGCCACTGATTACTTTTGCTGTCAATCACCCGTCGGCAGGCCCGTAGACCTCCTCCCTGTCGCTGATTGGTGGATAGTCATCGTGAGGCGGGACCATAGATATTCCCCTCTCTGATGGAAGAAAAGAGAAAGTTTCCAAGATGGCGGTGCGGACCAGGCTGTTCATTGGAAAACAATAGAAGCGGCGCTAAGGGACGTTATTAACCCGCCCTGGCTCGCTTTGAACCGCACACATCCCGATTCGGCCAGAAGGAGGGATATCCGTGGCTGCGATTCTGGACATTTAAACTATGAGGATTAATTTAGGCGTTTCAGACCCAGAACCCAGCGGCTAACGGCTACAGAGGCGGAGGAGGGTCAGCTGTTCCCTGGACAGATGCTGCTGTAGGATCCGCGGACAGAAACACTCTCACAGTAGGTGAATTTAATCCCCAACAACCCGCTCATAATACATGGAAAGTGTCATGTTTGTCGAGGGGTAAACTTTGAGCATTTGCTAAAACAAGAAGTTATCAGTTTAAAGTTGAGTTAGCTCTTTGCTAACCGAGCTAACTCCCGACTCGGAGAGGGCTAAATTAAAAGTTTCGGTGGAGTTGGAGAGCCGTTATGTCGCTCCCAGAGAGCGGAAAATGAAAACTAGCTGAGACAGAGACACAGACAGGAGCTGCTGCCTTCTGGGTCTCAAACAGCCTGGTTCTGGTGCGCTTTTTTTTTTACCAAGACTTACTTAATTGTTGAGTGGAGGAATGTGCTAACCGGCTGAACGTAGGATTTTGAATTATTCAATCAGAAAACAGCAGATTGAAGTTAAAATTAAACCCGGCTTGTTTGACACGAAACGCATTAAAATGGTTCAAACTGATTAAAGTTCCGCAGAGTTTGTCAATTTAAGTGTTTGTAAACAGTTTATTGAGAAAAACAGCAGGTTTGAGTTAAAGTTAAACTGAGTGTGGCTCCGTTTTACACAGCCAGTTAAATGACTGGTGTATGAAGCAGGCTGACAATCTGCAGTTTTACCCCAAAACCTTACTTTTCCTCCCCGGCAGTGAGTGACTGAAGGCCGTTAGACAAAGGTCGCCTCCATGGAGCCAGCACTGAAGGCTTTGTAAAGGGCCAGGGGGGGTGTAAAAAGAGCCACATTCAGCATTTTATGGACGAAACCTGAGCCGGGAAGTTTACTACAAGTCTTTACTGATGATGGCGGATTTTGTTACACCGCGACACAGCGCGGTGATGGAGCGGCTCCGCCGGAGGATCGAGCTCTTCCGGCAGCATCACAACAGGTGCGAATCCCGCTACGACAGCGCCACGCAGGAGCGGCTGGAGATTGAGAAGAAGCAGACCCTCAGCCTGCACCAGCGCCTGCTGCAGACCAAAGCCAAGCGTGCCAGCAAGCACCGGCAGCCCCAACCCAGCGGCGACCAGGCGGGTCAGAGAGCTCCGGGCGGAGCGGAGGCCGGAGAGGTTGGAGGGACGGCGGCGGAGCTCACCCGGAACAAGGCCCGTATGGCGGTGAGTTCAAGAAGCAAAACACCTCAGAGGGCCAGGGAAGGTCGTACAGCTGTGAGGGCAAGAGAGAGTCTAGTAGTGTTGCTGTAAAAGTATGTGCAGAGCTGTGTACTGTTGTTGTAAGAGTTTTGTATAGAGTTTATGCTAAAGTAGGTGTTATTGTAAATGTAGGCATGGTGTTGGTGTAAAAGTAGGCGTATTGTTGGTGTAAAAGTAGGCGTATTGTTGGTGTAAAAGTAAGCATGATGTTGGTGTAAAAGTAGGCGTATTGTTGGTGTAAAAGTAGGCATGGTGTTGGTGTAAATGTAGGTGTAGTGTTGGTGTAAATGTAGGTTTATTGTTGGTGTAAAAGTAGGCGTATTGTTGGTGTAAATGTAGGTGTAGTGTTGGTGTAAAAGTAGGCATGGTGTTGGTGTAAAAGTAGGCGTGGTGTTGGTGTAAAAGTAGGCGTGGTGTTGGTGTAAAAGTAGGCGTGGTGTTGTCTTCAAATCAGTGTTTCCCTTGCCTTGGCAGGGTGCTCATCTCTTCCGTGGTGAGGAAAACTGAATGCTATGTAGCTTTTTAGCTAGCGCATCTGTATTGCACCCCGCTAGCTTAGCGCTGTCATTGCCGGCAGTTGTTGACGGGGTGGGGGGTGTGAGGTGGTTTGATAGGCACTGGGCTCGGTTCTGTTGACAGGGTGGGGCGCCTTCTTTGTATAATGGTAGAGGAACTCTGGAGTTGGTGTCAAAGTATGTACTGTATAGAGTTGGTGTAGACGTAGACATGTGTAGTTAGTGTAAAATTGATTGAACCTAGTTTGTCTGACCAGTGAGTCTATTTGATTGTTTGTGTATTTGATTTCTTGATAATTTGATTTTGATATGTTGATGCCAAACAGGAATGATGGTACCTAAAATGTGACGGGCTATGATTTATTGCAGTCTTTTGTGATATTATTTATTAGTCAGTCTACAGATTTGAGATAACTTGAACAAAATGTCCTTGCTCTTTTGCACCTTGAGTTACTCACAGACCTCAACTTCAAGACATTCTTGTTTAAATACCCCATATCAGGTAATCAGTGTTCAGTTTCCTCAGGGTTTCTCCAAATATTCCTCAATGCATTTTTGTTACAATTAGTTTCTATTTGGTGCCATGACTCTAGTTGGCTTGAGCTACTCATCTTTTTGGTAATTTTACACTTTATATCCTGAGGATCACAAGTGGTGCGGCACATGTTGGGAACCTTGGTAATAGACAAATCTCTTGGATTTTAGGTGCGTGCACCATCCAGGACTGCTCCGACTCGAGCGTTTCCTAACAAACAAAACAATTAAACATTTTTTTAATAAAAAATAAATAAAAAAAACACAGGAACAAGAACAGTACTTTCAAATACTGATTCAGAGAATAAAAAAAGAATGAGAAATATGCTCCAACAAAAACGAGTCCAGGACATCAGCATCAGAGTTCACAACAATAATCTAATCATGAAACGGTTCGTACCTCCATGTATCTGTACGCTGGACAGGAGGACTAACATTTGAATTTCAACTCAGATTACAGCAGCCTAGCTGGACTTCTAGCTCCAGTACAAGTTTTAAAACAAACTATATGGACTTCTGTTCTGTAGTTGAGGACGTTTCCCTTCCTTTTATGTTATGGACTGTAATAAAACAGACTTTGGAAAAGTCTGGCCAATAAAAGATCATAATATATTGTAAAAAAAAAAAAGTTTTTGAAAAACTCTGGACTTTTTAAAAATGCAGTTAAATGTTGAAAGTGTTTGTCATTGGTCAATATGAAGTAAACCTATGGCCATGTTCATACGTATTAACAGATAATTTAATATTTAATAGGTATTTGTGTTGAAGGGTTTAAAATATGACTTGAACTGCATTCTGAAGTTTGTTTCCGGGTCCTGCTGCTCTGACTCTGTCAGGGTGATGTTGTTGCACTCACTCGGGGTTCAATCTGTTTCTAATCCACATGACATTAAACATTTCTGCCAACTTGAAGAGCAAAACGTGAATGTGAACAAGGCCGTATCACGTCTTTACAGCAGGCTGCTCCCAGCTCTGCAGGATTCCTACTGAGTCTTTAAAAACCCAGAGTGTGGATTCACTAGTTTCCAGGTCTGGGTAGGTTTAGAAAAACAGGTTTCAAGACTGTGTTTTTAAAGTGTTTATATTTATTGTGCATGAAAGGCAGATATCAATCACTCAGTCATAAATAAAGGTACGACTAACCACTTCACGTCTGTGCCTCAAGGGCAGATGTGACATAACGTAGCCAATATTTTGCTTAGGAACAGTTATTTTAAGTAATACTTTCTCCAAATTTGGACCAAAAGTTGAAGTATTTAAAGACTATGTTTCTTGCAGTTATAGTTTTTTTTCTCCCAGGACGCATTTTATAAAACTGAATGTAGAAGAAATTCTCTCCCTATCCATTTTTATTTTACAAAAGAAAACAAAAATAGGCCACTAAATGTAATTATTAGTCACAAGTTTTGATTATTGTCCTTTAACAAATGCTGAGATTTTTACACGTTTAAGTTCCTCAGCTGTGATATTCACATAATTCAGTAACATTTATTGTTTATACAAACTGGATTCCAAAAAAGTTGGGACACTAAACAAATTGTGAATAAAAACTGAATGCAATGATGTGGAGATGGCAAATGTCAATATTTTATTCGTAATATAACATAGATGACAGATCAAAAGTTTAATCTGAGTAAATGTAACATTTTAAAGGAAAAATACGTTGATTCAAAATTTCACAGTGTCAACAAATCCCCAAAAAGTTGGGACAAGTAGCAATAAGTGGCTGGAAAAAGGAAATTGAGCATATAACGAACAGCTGGAAGACCAATTAACACTAATTAGGTCAATTGACAACATGATTGGTATAAAAAGAGCTTCTCAGAGTGTCAGTGTCTCTCAGAAGCCAAAATGGTAAGAGGATCACCAATTCCACCATTGTTGCGCAGAAAAATAGTGCAGCAATACCAGAATGGTGTTACCCAGCGTAAAATAGCAAAGACTTTTAAGTTATTATCATCAACCGTGCATAACATCATCAAAAGATTCAGAGAATCTGGAACAATCGCTGTGCGTAAGGGTCAAGGCTGTAAAACTCTACTGGATGCTCGTGATCTCCGGGCCCTTAAAACATCACTGCACCTCAAACAGGAATGTCACTGTCAAGGAAATAACAGAATGGGCTCAGGAATACTTCCAGAAAGCATTGTCAGTGAACACAATCCACCGTGCCATCCGCCGTTGCCAGCTGAAACTCTACAGTGCAAAGAGGAAGCCATTTCTAAGCAAGCTCCACAAGCTCAGACGTTTGCACTGGGCCAGGGGTCATTTAAAATGGAGTGTGGCAAAATGGAAGACTGTTCTGTGGTCAGATGAGTCACGATTTGAAGTTCTTTATGGAACACTGGGACGCCATGTCATCCGGACCAGAGAGGACAGGGATAGCCCAAGTTGTTATCAACGCTCCGTTCAGAAGTCAGCATCACTGATGGTATGGGGTTGCATGAGCGCTTGTGGCATGGGCAGCTTGCATGTCTGGAAAGGCACCATTAATGCAGAGAACTATGTTCAGGTTCTAGAACAACATATGCTCCCATCTAGACGTCATCTCTTTCAGGGAAGATTATTCAATATACAGTATTTGTGTATTTTTTACCTTAACGGCGTAAATGTCTTCCAGGATTAAACACCCAACAGATCTGAATTAAATGGTTTAAATTAAAGCTCTATGCAGGCTGGCAACTTTTGGCTCAGATTTTTTAGATTTGTTAATTGTTTAATTCCATAATCGGAATGAAACTGCCACATTAAATAAAACTAGTACAAGATACCAGCTGGTTGTAAAACAGTATTGTGATAAATAACAGCTAATCTGTGAGGAAAACCTCGCTGCGTCACAATCGGCTTCATTTAGTTCATTTCGCACAGAATTTCTGGGCCGTTTGATTGTGGCTGCGTTTTTTTAATTTTTATTAAATGATCAAAAAGTGCATCTTAAGTTAACGTTTTAACTTTTTTTTTTTTAATTTAATCAAATTCTATTTCTTTTTGCATCTAAATGTTATGTTTTGGTTGGTCTTACAACCCGAGGCCATATTTCATAGTTAGTCTTTAAGAAGTCATTTTAATTAAAGTTGTGACAAGTTTTTATTTTTTCTTCCTCCATTTTTTTTAACACAGCTGCCGTTTGTGAGATTTTTCTTAAAATAAAGTGTAAACGCATCTCATAATTTTTTTTTAATCATAGGGTTATATTTTCACTCAAGTTGTGATTTGTTTAAATAAATCATGTAGATCGTTACTGAGCAATCGAGCGACGGCGCTTTCCCACCACTGCTCCGCTGCTGTCAGGTGTCAGACATTGGACCGGACCGACATCTGACAGGAAGTTAGTTGGTGCTCCTGGAAATAAACGAGCTATGTTGGAGCGTGTTCAAGTTTGGATTAGAATAATAATAGTCGTTCAAAGTTCAAACTGTTAAAAGTTAAAATTACAACTAAAACAGAAAACAGTTGTCCTTAAAAAAAAAAAAAAATCCACCTCCTGATGGTTCTCATATTCACCCAGTTGCTCAACGCCAACGCTGCAACTGCTCTGCTGACTCTTAAAGAGGCAGCGCAGATAAACAAAATGGATTTTTGACTTTTGAATCTATTAAAGATATTCCACTCCTAAATCCTAATAATCAGAGGTCACCCCAAACAAAAGGCAGACTATAAAATAGTTTAAATTCTCGACTCTGGTTCTTCTGGCATGTGTGCTGATATCAGCCTGCTAACAGAAAAAATGCTTTAAGGAGTCAAAACAAAGAAAGCGTGTTTGAGATTCCTTCAGTGCAAAGGGAGAGTTTCTGAGCTGAAATCAGACCAGCAGATACTTCAGATTTTTGTGGCCGAGTTCGAGGCAGATATTCCAGGATGAGTCAGTGTGAAGGCTCTTGTCTGTCTGCTGGGCGGGTCAATCAGCACAAGGATTCACCTCGGACCCTCACAACGGTTTTCATGTTTAAATCGCAGACAGTTTCTTCTCTGTTTGTGGTTTTTACGAGCAGCATCGTAACAAACTGTAGAGAAACGCTTCATTCCTGAAATTTACCTATGAATCATCAGTCTGTTGTTGAACAAGTGAGGCTGCTTGTAGATATAATCACCCTGAGCTGTAGAGCCTCCAGTCCCTCCTCAGGTGTGTAAACAGGAGGAGTCAGACGAGTATTTCAGGTTGAAGGAGTTCAGTGAGTCACCGGTTTCCTCTTTGTTTTTTTTTTTCTGCGTGCTGTCCGTTTGATTGAACTAGAATTAAGTTTCTTTCGGCTGCTCCCTTCAGGGGTCACCACAGCGAGCAAACTTGCACGAACGATTTGGCAATTGTTTTGTGCTGGATGCCCTTCCTGACTGGGCTCAAACCCGCAACCTCAGGATTACAAGACTGTGGCACTGACCACCAAGCTAATGCAGCCCCTTTGTCTGATTGAACTACAGTTTAGATTTTTCACCATGACTGAAAGTGCACATTGATGTTTTTATCATCATCTGGTCACCATACAGGTCACGCTTATTGCCTGTCAGAAAATTATCTTGTGAACCACCAGCGTTGGCAAACACCAACGTAGCTACTGGTATATCTCTGTTTTACCAGATTTGGAGCTAAAAGTTGGAGTGGTAGTAGTTGAGAGTCATTCCCAACACAGACTTGGCAGGTGATATGCATTCCTTCATGGAATGCTACTGTTTAAATAATAAAGTCAAAGGACACTGGTTGAGACGCCTTAAGTTGGGAGAACTGGAAAAAAACTGCTGATTTTCTGTTTCACGGTGTGAGGAAGGATGACTCGACAGAAAACCGCATCGGGGACGGATGGTAAACGACAAACGGCACGGTTCTGTTCACAAAAACTGGTTGGATCAGGTTTTAAACGCCGCTTCATTCAAACCGTAGAAGGTTCATAGAAGCAAAAATTCGTCTCGTGACTTTCTGTGGTGAAACTGTTCTTGGGGACGTCTCAGGGTTTCTTTTCTATTTGGTGTTCCTTCTGAACATCAAATCCTTAGATGTTCAGGAGGATGAAGTCAGGAGGTCTGCAGGATTCAGAGTCCCCTGTGAGAGACTGTGACGATGCATGTGGTGGATCATCTCTCAGACCGGATGAATCAGAGCGAAGTGATGCTGTGGGGAAATACCTGCAGAGTTCAGTCTGACTGGACCTTTCAGGAAAAGATTTTATGTTTTGCTTCTGCTCGGTGAATTACTCATCCTGGACAAACGAAGACAGCAGTTGGGTCCATTCTAAATATGTTTGTGTGTTCTGTAAACCTGCCTAAGAGCTGCAGCTTTCATTGGAATCAGATCCTCCCCGTTGTCTGTCGGCTCCACAACGTCTCCTGCAGATAAAACGCTTCCTCCAATAAAATGTGGAGTTCCAGTTCCATCTTCATGACTACGTTCTTCAAATAACCTCAATTCATGATAACTTTTCTGAATAAAAATAATCTGTCGTTTCTGATTTAATCAATGTTCAGATTTTTTTCTCATATAAATGTCTTCTGACAATTCTAACTTTAGAGGATTTTATGGACTACATTCAGTAATAAAAACATACATAAAATAAATCCAATCGTTTACTTTAGACATTTTGTTTTTAAAACGAATAATTTGGTAACTAAAACCATGATTTGTTTGTGTGAGTCTGTTGACGTCGGTATCTCTTTGTGTTCTTTCAGCTGCAGGAGACGTTGAAGAGGAAACCGGACAGCACCAGTTCTTTAGCCAACAAAAAGCTCTTGCTGGACATCGGGTCCCCTCTGGACTCCAAGCCGAGTATCAACGATTCGTTAAACCAGCCTCATGTGCCAACGGGGGAGCTGGAGAACAGCGTTGGAGACCTGGACTTCCACTGCAGTAAGATGAAGCGCGAACCGGAGGACATCTTACCCATCATGCCCCCGTTCCCCGACCTGAACGAGCAGGAGTGGAATGAGCTGATAGAAGATCTCAACCGCTCTGTGCCCATCGAGGACATCCAGAAGATTTTAGAAGAAAGCTTGGAAGACCGCAAAGATTCTTCGGAGCTGGCTTTAACTCCGGGTGGAGCTGGAGGAGCAGTGGGAGACGGAGGCCAGCTGTCCCAGGGCCTGCTTCCAGATTTAGCTAGCATCAAGACGGAGTTTCCTTCGCCCTCTGCAGTCTTCGAGCAGGACTCTCGCACCACCTCCCCCCACATGAAGTCCACCTCCTCTATACCACCTCACTCCAACAGCTCCCCTGTGGCCGCCTCTGCCTCCTCCCCAGCTCTTCCTCCACCCCAGCCAGCTCCATCCAGACCACTCCAGCCTCCACCCAACCACCACCTGCCCCCAGTTCCCAAAGACCTGTCCCCTGCCCAGCAGCTGCAGCAGCTGGCCGCCCAGCAGCAGAGAGTCAAAACCAAGATGCAGCCACAGCGAGACACCAAGTTCCTCAACCAGCAGCCTCATCCTCACCCCCCAGCCTGGCCCCAGATGACCAATGGCCCTCAGACTTCACTGGGGGTCACCAGCTCCTCCCTGTACCCACCGGACTTCAACCCTAATGCCCAGAAGTCACTGATGATGCCCCCTCAACCCAACAATAGCTCGCCAAAATCAGGGACCGCAAACTATATGCCGGGGTCCACGGGGCACCCCAACATCCTGAGTTCCCTGACATCAGGGCCCCCTCTGAGCCACCCCCCAGCACAAGGAGCTCAGGCCTCCGCAGCAAGGCTGACTTACAACAACACTAGACCTCTGACCCACTACGAGGTGGGACCAGGACCACTGAGGGCCCCTAACACTACGAGCCAGGAAAAGACCCTGCTGAACCTGGTCCGACAGCCACAGCTCAATCAGACCACCATGACCTTCCGCCATCACATCCCACACACACAGGTAAACACACACAGGTAAACACACACACAGGTAAACACACACACAGGTAAA